AAGGCAGTAGATGGTGAGCCAAGTGCTTGGGCCCCTACCACCCACTGCAGAGACCTGGATGGCCTTCCAGTTCGTTGTTTGAGCCCAGCCCACCCTGGACTGTTGTAGCTATCTGGGGAGTGGACCAGCAGATGGAAGGTCTATTTTTCCACTGTGTGTCATTGTGTCTTTTTTTTTTTTAAGATTTATTCTTTTCATTCTGCTTTTCTTTTAAAAGATTTATTTATTTTAATTGAAAAGACAGATCAGATTTATGAACAGGAGAGACAAAGAAAAATCTTCCATCTGCTGGTTCACGCCATCAGTGGCCCCAGTGGTTGGAGCTGAGCTAATCTGAAGCCAGGAGCCTCTTACAGGTCTCCTAGCAGGTATGGGGTCCCAAGGTTTTGGACTATCCTCTACTGCTTTCCCAGGCAGGTCATAAGTAGAGAGCTAGATGGGAAGTGGAGCAGCCAGGACAGGAACGGGTGCCCTAATGGGACCCAGGAGCTTTCAAGGAGAGGATTTAACCTTTGAACCATTATGCCTGGTCCTCTGCTTTTCAAATAAGATAAAAAGAGGATCCGCCATGGTAGCCTAGTAGCTGAAATCCTTGCTTTGCACACACAAGGATCCCATATAATCCTGGCTGCTCTACTTCCCATCCAGCTCCATGCTTGTGGCCTGAGGATGGCTCAAAGCCTTGGGACCCTGCATCCATGTGGGAGACCTGGAGGAAGTTCCTGGCTCCTGGCTTTAGATCAGCTCAGCTCCAGCTGTTGTGGGCAGTTGGGGAGTAAATCATTGGACTTAAGGTCTTTCTGTCTCTCCTCCTATCTTTATATCTGACTTTCCAATAAAAATAAAATAAATCTTTAAAAAGAAGGAAGGAAGGAAAGAGAAAGAAAAAAAGAGAGAGAGAGAAAGAAAGCGAACCCGGTGTGGTAGCCTAATGGCTAAAGTCCTCACTTTGAGTGCACCAGGATCCCATATGAGCTCCGGTTCTGATCCTGGATGTCCTGCTTCCCATCCAGCTCCCTGCTTGTGGCCTGGGAAAGCAGTTGAGGACGGCCCAAAACCTTGAGACCCTGCCCTTCAAGGGAAACCCAGAAAAGGCTCCTGGCTCCTGACTTTGGATCAGCTCAGCTCTGGCCATTGCAGCCACTGCGGGAGTGAATCGGTCTTTGTTTCTTCCTCTCTCTGTAAATCTGCTTTTGCAATATAAATAAATAAAACTTAAAAAGAGAGAGAGAGAGAGGAGTGCCTGGAGCCCAGGACTGGTGGGCAAGCAGGGAATGAGCAAATAGAGTCAGTACGGAAAAGGTGTAACCCTCAGTCCGTGTTGATTCTCAGTGCACACTGTCCTCTAGCCCCGCTGGCTCAGATGCTCAGCCCCATCAGCCTGGTTGTTGCCCCGCCATGGGCCCTCCCCATGCCCTTTGCCAGGACACTACCATGTCACACCTCGATTTTTTGTTTGCACTTCCTTCCTCCCCGCCTGTCTACAGCCTACCCTTCACAGGGCAGTGTGAAAGAAAAAAAAAAAAAAAACCTTTTGTTTTTGAACTTTGACTTTATTTTTTCAAAGGCAGAGAGACAGGCAGATCAAGGCCTCCCAACTGCTGGCTCACTTCCCAAATGCCTGTGAGTGGGTCAGGCTGACCTGGAGCCAGGACCTCCATCCAGGTCTCGCACGTGGGGGAGGGGCTTCCCTGTGTACACACTAACCAGCAGGTTCGCAGTCAGAAGTGGAGTGGGGACTCCAGCCCAGCAATTCTCACGTGACATGTGTTTGTCTTTGTCGCAACCACAGTGCCAAACACCTGTCTCTGAGGGATCCTTCTAGCACAGTGGTTCTCAGCCTTGGCTGCATGCGAAGATCCAGGGTATTCCCACCAAGATCCTAGGTCTGCACCTCACCCAAGATACTCAAATTTCACTGATACAAAGTAGGACCCAGGCACATATATCATTTTTGGGGTTGTTTTTTAAAGATTTATTTATTTTTATTACAAAGTCAGATATACAGAGAGGAGGAGAGACAGAGAGGAAGATCTTCTGTCCGATGATTCACTCTCCAAGTGAGCGCCGGTACTGTGCCAATCCGGAGCCAGGAGCCAGGAACTTCTTCCTCCTCCAGGTCTCCCACATGGGTGCAGGATCCCAAGGCTTTGGGCCATCCTCGCCTGAGTTCCCAGGCCACAAGCAGGGAGCTGGATGGGAAGTGGAGCTGCTGGGATTAGAACCAGTGCCTATATGGGATCCCGGTGTGTTCAAGGCGAGGGCTTTAGCCATTAGGTTACACCACCGGGTTTGTTTTTAAAATCATTTAAGGGCCCGGTATGACAGCGTAGTGGTTAAAGTCCTCACCTTGAACATGTCCAGGATCCCATATGGGCACCAGTTCTAATCCCGGCAGCCCCACTTCCCATCCAGTTCCCTGCTTGTGGCCTGGGAAAGCAGTTGAGGACGGCCCAAAGCCTTGGGACCCTGCACCCAAATGGGTGACCTGGAGGAAGCTTCAGTTTCCTGGCTTTGGATTGGCACAGCTCCAGCTGTTGTGGCCGCTTGTGGAGTGAATCATTGGGCGGAAGATTTTTCTCTCTGTCTGTCCTCCCCTCTGTATATCTAACTTTTCAATAAAAATTAATCTTTTTCAAAAATGGAAACAATTATTTTGGCACAGTGACACAGCGAGCTAAGCTGCTTCCTGCACCACCAGCATCTCATGTGAGAGTGCCAGTTTGAATTCTGACTACTTTACTTCCCATCCAGCTCCCTGTTAATGGGCTTGGGCTCCTGCCATCCTCATGGGAGACCCAGATAGAGCTCCAGGCTCCTGGATGCAGCCCAGCCCAGTCCCGGCCTTTGCACCACTTGAGGAATGAACCGATAGATGGACAGTCTCTGCTCCCCCGCCCCACTTCTCCATCATGCTTGTTTTTCAAATACATAAACCTTTTATGTATTTGTTTGAAGTTTCCGTCCTTTGTTTCATCCCTCAGATGCTTTCATGGCCAAAGCCAGACCTGGAAAGCAATCCAGCTGTTGCTGTGGGTGGCAGGAGCACAGCTGGTTTGACCCATGCTGTGGTTTCCCAGGCTGAGCACCTGCAGGAAGCTGGAGTCAGAGACAGGCTTGGAATACAGGATGTGGCGCACGGGCAGCTTACATTTTTATTTTTTAAGATGTATTTATTTTTCAGCCCTGCATGGTAGCTAAGTCCTCTGCTTGAACATGCTGGGATCCCATATGGGCGCAGGTTCTAATCCTGGCAGCCCCACTTTCCACCCAGCTCCCTGCTTGTGGCCTGGGAAAGCAATTGAGGATGGGCCAAAGCCTTGGGATCCTGCACCTGCGTGGGAGACCTGGAAGAGGTTCCTGGCTCCTGGCTTCTGATCGGCACAGCACCGGCCATGTGGTCACTTGGGGAAGATCTTTCTGTCTTTCCTCCTCTCTCTATATATCTGACTTTGCAATTGGAAAGGCAGATTTGTAGAGAGGAGAGACAGAAGGATCTTCTACCCACTGGCTCACTCCCCAAATGACCACAACAGCTGGAGCTGAGCCAATCTGAAGCCAGGAGCCAGGAGCCTCTTCTGGGTCTCCCACATGGATATAGGGTCCCACGGCTTTGGGCCATCTTCTATTGCTTTCCCAGACCACAAGCAGATGGCAAGCAGAGCAACCAGAACACAAACCAGCGCCCATATGGGATGCCAGTGCTTTCAAGGGGACGATTAGCCAATTAATTCATTGCACCAGGCCCAACCCTGCTGACTTTTTAAGATTTATTTATTAGTTGAAAGGTGGAGTGACAGAGAGCAAGAGGCAGCTCTTCTGTCTGCTAGATCACACCCAAATGGTCTGGAGCTGGCTAAATCCAGCAGCCTAAACCTCCATCCAGTTCTCCTATGGAGGTGACAGGGAGCCCAAGTGCCCGGGGATCATCCGCTGCCTCCCCTAGCTCTCCTATGGGATGCTGGCGTCACAGGGTGGAGGATCAGCTTGTTGAGACACGATGCAGCCCCCACCCTCCACTGTCCACTTTTCGGAAAGGGAGAGCAGGGATCCTTCATGGTTCTTTGAGACAGGAAGCGTGCATTCTCGGGTTGATTCTCCTCATTATCTGCAGTGGTCATAGAGGTGGACACCTGAGCATCTGTCCTGTGGGCTTCTGGAACCCTTAACTGGTTGAGCCATCACTGCTGCCTGCCAGAGTGCGCATTAGCAGGAAGCTGGGACTGGGAGGAGAGGCCAGGAATGGCACTGGGGGGTCGTGCACCCCACATCAAGGACTGCCCCACACTGGCACATCATCTTTCTATAGCATGTACTTGATCCTGGCTGCCTTTGGGGCCAGGGACGTCTGTCTGTGCACGTCTGTCTGTCCGGCTTCCCCTCTCTAAACTCCAGACTCATCTTTTGCTCCACTGGGTCCAAAGGAATTATCTCTGGGGTGTGGGGAAGCCTTTTCTGATAGCTCCCCCACTTCCTGACCCTCCCCTCACTCCTACTGACACCGCGGCCACCTGTCACCAGCGTGGCCGGGGGCGCCTCCGTGGATGATGGCTGCGCCAGGGCGAGAAGGCTGGCCAAGTCGCCTCAGAGAGGTAGACCCGGAGCCAGGCGCCCACGCTGCAAGCCAATGGCTGAGTGTGAAGGGTGTTCCGCTGCGTCAGCGAGGCCCGAACCGCCCTTGGGAGGAGGAGCCCCCGACTCCAAGGCGGCTTGGCGGTGCAGCGCACGCGGCCTCGCTTCCCGTCCAGGGGCGCAGAGCACCCGCGCCCGCCGGCCGTGGAGAGCATCGCGGATGGCTAGCTAGCCGGCTGCGGGCCGTTCGCTCTTAGCGGCCTCCGCAGTAGCAGCGGAAGAGGCGGGGACGCCGGTGCAGCCGAGGCGCGCCGGGGCAAGGTCCGCGGCCGGGGGCCGGCGAGGCGGCCTCCTGCGCGCAGCCGCGCCGCACCGCGCGGGCCGGGGGCGGGGCCCGGCCGGGTCGAGGGGCGGGGACGGGCTCCGGGCCCGCCTCCGGCAGCTCCCCGGAGCCGCGGAGCTCGCGGCACCCCAACGATTCTGGGGGGCTCCAGGTGAGCGAGGGCACAGCGGGGTCAGGGAGACGTCGGCTGAGGGCGCGCCGTTCGGTCCGTCCGCGGCTCCCTCCCGTGCTGCCGTCCGCCAACAGTCGCCCTCCGCGGAGAATGGGAGAACAAAGGGAGGGGGCGGTTCTGGGGCCCCTGCGGGAATCCAGGGTCCCAGGTACCCCGCCCCGCCCTCTGACACTTTCGGTTTCTCCCCGAGTCAGAGGCGCCACCCTAGAGACCCTGGGCCGGCGTCAGGCGCAGCTGCCTCCGCGCGTTTGCCTCTTGGTCTCTGTGTCTCTCTCTGTGTCTGTCTCCGAGCTTGCCTCCGCTTCCACACCTAACCCGCTCGGACACCTTCATCCCGCGAGTCCCCGGCCCTCTTCATGGCAGGTAAGGGGGCGCCAGACAAGGGTCTCCGTTATCCCCCCTCTCTCAGATTTGGGTGTCTGGTGTGGAACGCATCCCCCAGGAATGTGCTCCGACTGGCCGCGTGGGCCCCTCCCTTGCTCCTGGGGAGCCGCCGCCCTGCTCCCCTGCCCATCCCCGCTTTCTCCTCTACTGCGCTTTCCACGGGAGTGGGGGGGGGGGGGCTGAGGAATAAGGGATCAGGGCTGCCGGTGCTTTCCTAATCCACCCCTGCTCCCCACAGGCTACGTGCCCCCCACGGGCTATGCGCCTTCACCCCCACCTCCCTACCCCGTGACCCCTGGGTACCCGGAGCCCGCCTTGCATCCTGGACCGGGGCAGGTGCCGGTGCCTCCCCAGGTGCCTGCCCCAGCGCCCGGATTTGCCCTCTACCCTTCCCCAAGCCCTGTGGCCCTAGGGCCTGCTGCCTCCTATGTGCCATTGCCCGGGGTGCCTGCTGGTCTGGAATTCCTGGTGCAGGTGAGTGGCAAGGAGGGCGGGAGGCTACCAGGGAGGGGACCCGGAGCAGAGGCCTGCCAGCTGATGGGAGTGCCACATCTGCTCTTTTCAGATTGATCAGATCTTGATTCACCAGAAGGCTGAGCGAGTGGAAAGTAAGTGGGAGATGGGGTAGGCTGGTCCTTGTGACCATACATAACAGGGCTGCTGGGCTCCTGGCTGACATGCCCGGGCATCAGCATCTCTCACCCACCTGCTAACAGCGTTCTTAGGCTGGGAGACCTGTAACCGGTATGAACTGCGTTCCGGGGCCGGCCAGCCCTTGGGCCAGGCAGCCGAGGAGAGCAACTGCTGTGCCCGCCTGTGCTGCGGCGCCCGGCGGCCGCTGCGCGTGCGCCTGGCCGACCCCGGGGACCGTGAGGTGCTGCGCCTGATCCGCCCACTCCACTGTGGCTGCTGCGGCTGCTGTCCCTGTGGTCTCCAGGAGGTGGGCTGGGGAAAGTTCTGAAGGAGCTGTGCAGACCTCCATAGCGGGGCATGGTCTGGCTTCTGAGGGAGATGGGAGGTTTAGGGAAGAGTTTGGGGTGCGGTGCCCCGGTTTGGCAGTGACAAAGCCCACCTTCCACTCCAGATGGAGGTACAGTCTCCACCAGGCACAACCATTGGCCATGTGCAGCAGACCTGGCATCCCTTCCTGCCCAAGTTCTCCATTCAGGACGCCGACCGCCACACAGTCTTGCGGGTAGTAGGACCCTGCTGGAGCTGTGGCTGCGGCACAGACACCAACTTTGAGGTACCAGCTGGGAGGGGACCGGTGACCTTTGCCCACTCAATGGGGGCAGCTTTCACCACCATGGGGCAGGATGGTTGGAGTGAGGCCAGATCACGGAATGCCTACCAATAGGGTTTTAGGAGCGTGGCGAGGTGCTGGGGGCTGTTCACTGCCCTGTGTGTGTGGTGGGGTGGAGGATGGGGAGTGGAAATCTGTGTTCAGCAGGCCCCTGGCTGAGACTTGAAGCTGGCATGGATTTAGCATCCTGACTTGTCCTACCAGGTCCTAATGCCCCCTCGAACTACAAGTCCTGGGGATCCCCCTCCCCCCGCCCCTTGCCATGCTGCCTGTCCCCAGGGTGGGGAATCCACGTGAGGAAGTCTCCAGTTGGGCTTGGGAGTGTGTTGGTGTCTAGAAGGCAGGCCAGGCTTCTTGGGGAAGATTGGGCAGACAAAGCAGAAGGCGCTGGTGGACCTGCCAAGGCGCCTGATGAGGTGCTTCACCCAAGGTTACTTTTAAACATGAGTCACGTTCCTAGCCAGAGGGAGGCTTGTGTGATGGGAACCAGCTGGGGAAGCAAGAACTGGGCGTCCTCGGCCTGGGAATGGGCCGCCTGTGGGGTTCTCATAAGGCTTGCGGTGTCTCACACTGTGAAGGATGCCTGCTTGGGGCTGACCACGTGGGAGTGCAAGGCTAGCTAGGGCGGGGGGCTGCGGGGATGTGTCCCGGAGCTGGAGCAGAGTTGGGGTTAAGGAGGCGACAGTCACAGAGGGTCATCAACTCCCTCTGCAATAGGAAAGGGACCAGGAAGTCCGTGAGTCATTCCCTATTGTGTAGCAGGGCCCGCCCCTCCCCGCAGCCAGCAGGCTCCTGTCCTTCTGGGTGAGATTTGCCTTTAGTACTGGGCAGGGCCCCCCCTTACTTTGCAGATGAAAGGAAAAAGTACCCCTGTCCCCCATGCCCATTTGGGCAGACACAGGCTTTGAGGGCCTTGTTAGCCAGTACAAGATGCCAGTGTTTGGGCAGCCTCCTTCCTCTTCCCAGCCTGGCTACTATGTATGGGACACAACTGCACCACTGCAAGGCAGTGAGGGACCAAAGAGCACCAAAGGGGACAGCAGAGAGCCGTGTGCTGACACCAGGATGCTGGTTTCCATTTTCCCAGGCGCTAATGTTCATCCATCCTCTCAGTACAGCAGGACCCAGGGTGCCCCACGTCCCGTGGACACTCACAGTGGGATCTGGGCATCCAAGAGTCCACACGTGGCAAGTATGGGCGTGTGTGTGCGTGGGCAGGCAGCTCAGACTGCATCCTCCCCTCTCGCCCGGCAGGTGAAGACCAAGGACGAATCCCGCAGCGTGGGCCGCATCAGCAAGCAGTGGGGGGGGCTGCTCCGAGAAGCCCTCACAGACGAGGATGACTTCGGCCTGCAGTTCCCCCTGGATCTGGATGTGAAGGTGAAGGCCGTGCTGCTGGGAGCCACGTTTCTAATCGTGAGTTGGTTGTCCCTGCCCCTTCGCTGTCCCTGGAAGCTGTTTGTACTGGCTGGTGTCTTGCAAGGAGCAGTTAGGGTTGGAGGTCATGTTGGGGGTAGCGGAGGGTCCAGATCTGGGTTGTGGTGGCTGAGTCAGGCTGCCGGCCCCATCTCCTGCTAACGGTGGCTTCCCCTTAGGACTACATGTTCTATGAAAAGCGAGGAGGCACCGGGCCCTCTGCCGTCACCAGCTAGAGACTGCAATAGGGTCACCATCGTCCCCAGCAGAACTGAAGATGGTCGCGGCCTTGCCGGGCCTCACCCTGCCGAGCAGTACTCCGTTTTCTCCACGTGCACTGTAGGGGGACACAGAGGCTGGGGTCCTGTGTCCCCTCCCTCCTTCCCCACCCCTGCTTCCCTGGCCGTCTGCCTGGGGCTCTCCCAAAAGCATATATATGAGAACCCATGCCTACCCTACCCACCACTCCCTCCCAGCACCCAGGCTACCTGGCTTTCAACTGTCCCACTCACTCCAGCCCCCTCCCAGGGCATCTGTTCCAAAGAAGGCTTTTGACACTTGAGGACTCAAGTTTTACAACAAGGGCCAGGCCGGGGAAGGCAGACGTGGGTGTCCCTCTCCTACGTCAGCTTGGCTAGTTAGCTCAGCCTCGGACCCTGGCCCTTGGAGGAGGAGCTGCCCCTCGTTGCCAGCAGACGTTTGGACTGGGCCACAGTGCCACTTCCCTTCCCCCTCAGGCCCTGCCCAGAGCTGGTGCTTGCTGCAGCTTCCTGTGCCTTACTATTTAACCACCCCCCTTCCTTGCCTTACCCCAGGAAGGAGGCTGCATATTTGTATATTCTATTCATAAAAAAAAAACAAACTTTGTAACTTTTTGGACATTGGAAGATGTGTGTAATGGGGCGGGGGGCAGGAAGAAGGAAAAAGTGTATAGGAGGAACTTTGAACTGGGGGGCTGGGGCAATGGCTAGCATCCACCCACCCTCAGTAATCCATGCTATTGCATCAGAACAGTTCTGGTCACCCATGGTGGCCCTGGACCAAATCTGAGCACCTGGGACCCCAGGTCATGCTGGCCACTCCCACCATCCGAGGTGGTGGCCCAGAGTCAGTGAGGTAGCTGGGGGCGGCTGCTCCCCTGGTTCAGCCTGGGCACTTGGACATTTTCCATAGGGGAGGGCTTTCCCATGGGTGTAATAAACAGCGGTTCCTTTTTCTCCAAGCCTTCTTCTCAACTGGAGATGTGGCAAGCACACAGAGACTCTCAGCTCAACTCGCGGGCCTTGAACCTTCTGAGGCCAAGGGCAGAGCAGCGAGGGAACATTCCTGGGTGCCCTTGGACTCCTCCTGCACCTGCAGGTGGAACCTCCCCAAGTTAAGACTGCTGCCCCTGTCTTAGCTCTGCCTGGTCCCATGTGGTCAAGCCCAGAGGGGTCCAGGTTTTCCAATGCTGGCGTCCACACCCAAGGAAGCGGAGCTCAGGAACGGGCCAGGACATAGCGGCTGGCGGCCGACAGGTCCCAGTGGTAGTGTTCCAGTATGCGGCGACAGTCAGCTCGGGACCGGCTACTCAGGTTGAACAGCTGGTCGACCTGTGGGAGCACGTGGAAAGGCCTCTGGGTGCAAGGTCACAGAGATGGGAGAGAATGAATCCAGGGAGCAAGAAATTTGTCTTTACCTTGAGGTTCTGGATGGCAGAAGATACGTCTCCCCCTGTGGCTCTTAGAGCTGCTTGGCACTCCCGGTAGGTGACCCCATGAACGCCCAGCTCCACCTGCAGGGAGAGGGGAGATGACGAAGCCTTCCTCAGGTCCCCTGTCCTGTAGTCCCTTCCGGACACTGGTTCCCGTGTCAGTGAGTGCTCACCTCTGCGATCTTCCTCTGAAATTCATGGTCAGACAAGAAGCTTCCAGATGGGCTTGCAGCTTTACATGTTCCAGGCCCTGCCAGGCGGTGATTTGGGGGAGGGTCTCTTTTGGGCCGTTCCCTGAGGGGCTGGCTTGGCTGAGAAGAACTAGAGGTAACCAGTGGGCGTGGAGGCAGGGCTGGAAGTCCTGGGGGCACAGCCCTGACATGTCGAAGTTCTGGGGGACTTGAGCCACCCCCTGTGGGGCACGGGCCCAGGGACAGAACTGACTCCAGACTCTTGGAAATGCCTGCAACATCGAAAAAGAAACAGTGTGAGAGGAGACAGGTATCAGGCCCTGCTGGCTTCCTGCTCCATCTTCATCTGGGCTTGGGGGCCGGGTGTAGAGTGAGTGGTGCTGTTGGTCCACCCTGTCCCTGGGGCACTCCAAGTGTTAGGTGACACAGTGAGACAGGTGTGCAAACAGACTTCACAGCCTAGGTAACAAGGGCCCGAAGAACAGAAACCTGGGTTGCGGTTGGAAGATGCTGGTCAGTAAGGGAAGACAGGTGCTAACTGAGGTGTACCAGGCAGAACCGGGGGTGGGGAAAAGACATCCCTAGCAAAAGGTGAAGGGTGGGAGGACAGAACTGAGGTGTGTTTCTAACCTCAGAGACCCACAAGAACCCCGTCACATCCACCTTTCGTCCTCAGCAGGGGTGCATTCCTTCTCTGGCCCCCGCGGGGTGGAGGCAGATCCCGGGGTGGAGGCAGATCCCGAGGCTTCGTCTTCTCTCTGTCCCTGCACAGGGGCATGGTGCAGGTCACCCCCTGACTCCACATGGGAACAGCCCCTCCCAAGGGGCTCCCCAGACCCCGGTCCTTCTCAGTGAGACTCCCCTTCAACTCACCGTGGTCCCCCACCCACGCTTCTCTTAAGTTGCTGGTTCTTGTTGATTCCCCTCCTTCCCCACCCCCCGCCAGCCCAGCTCTGTTCCCCAGCCCTTTGGTGCCTCACCCTTCTGGAACTCCCCGGCGTCGCTCAGCCCGGGCAGGGGAGCCTCTGTAGACTGGGTGGGGGGCTGCCTGGCCCCCCACATCTGCCAGCGTCACTGCCGAAGCAGGGAAGCTGCCCACCTTGCAGGTGCGGCCGTTCTGGCCTTTCCATGTGGCGGAATCGGGGCTGTGGAAAGAGGAGCTGGTGAAGGGGGTGGGGGTGACAGAGTGCCAGCCCACATCCGGCTCTCTGGGGCTGCAGCTGCCCGAGGGGAAGACAGGCTCTGTGGGCCAGGAGTGGGGCATGGGGCGGGAGGGGGCAGGGGAGAGAGTGAGGAGGGGAGGAAATGGCAAGATCGGGGTTCTGGGAGTTGGGGAGGAGCCAAGAGCAGACCATGGATCAGGAAGTCGGCAGGAGGAAGTCATTCCCTGGGGTTGCTGGGGAACCCGAGGGCTGTTACCTGCCCTCGATGATGGTGATGGGGTCTCCGGGCTCCATCCGCAGGGCACCTGGCTCTGTGACATCCCGTATACAGTGTCCCTCAGAAGGCCAGGCCTATGGAGACAGAAGAGGGCAGCCCAAGTCAGAGGTATAACATGGGAACAATGCCGCCAGCCAAGCCCATACAGGGGTGTGCTCTGTGCTGATTCCAGGCTGCGACTGTCCCTGTCCCCTGGCTGTAATACAGTACAGATGTCCTGTGCCAAGCTGGGTACAGCCCAGGGCCCCGGGAGCAACAGAGGAGGACCCCTCTGAAGCGCCTCCCACACGCCCTGCACCCCCACCCACATTCCTCAAGTTGCAGGTGCTGCTCCCCCAAGACTTTGCAGCCGCATCAGGGACCTCCCCTCCCACTCTGGGCCACACCTTGGGTCAGACACCCACAGCAAGCTCCAGCACCACTCTCCAGCTCTGGGCCCCAACCTGTGTCTCCAGGTGCAGGTGGGGGCTGCACAAGGATCGGTACTGGGCCTTGTGCTTGGCTATAGAGTTGAGGGGTCGCACCTCTTGGAGCAGCTCTTCCAGGCGGGGAAAGCTGGGCCGGTCAGCCGGGTGGGGCGCCCAGCAGCGCAAGGCCAGTGCATAGAGCGCCCTGGAGCAGAGAGGAGGCCGGGGCAGCCGAGCTCGGTCCTTCTCCAGCCGCTGCAGGATGAGGTATGGGGGGACCCCGGCCCAGGGCTCCTCGCCGGCGGAGAACATCTCCCACAGCGTCACCCCAAACATCCACACGTCGGAGGCAGAGGAGAAAGCTCCCTCGCGCAGGCTCTCTGGGGCACACCTGCGGAAGCAGAAGATGAAAGGGGCCTCTGGAAGCCCCTCACAGCCCTTCTAAACGCTCCCCATGTCCCCACCCCAAGTCCTTTCGCAGGCCCATCCCAGCCTGCCCAGCACCCCCTCCAGCTTCGCCCGCCGGGGGGCTGTCCTCACCAGGCGTAGGGGATGGGGCGTGGCCCGCCCATGACGTAGCGGCCTCGGGGACCGCGCAGCGGCCGCACCAGCCCGAAATCGGCCACCTTAATGGTGCGCGGCGAAGCCAGAAGCAGGTTGCGCGTGGCCAGGTCTCGGTGCACTAGCCCGCAGGCCCCCAGGTACGCCATGGCCGCTGCCAGCTGCCGCAGGAAGAGGCAGAGCAGAGCGACGGGCAGCAGGGGTGTCGGGGCCGGAGCCGTGAGGCGCGCGTGCAGGGAGCCCAGCGGTGCCAGCTCCATCACCTGCAGGGACCAAGGCATCGCCGCATGAGCTGTGAGCTAAATCCAGGAGACCTTGCCCGCCCGCCGGCCTTCTCGGCTTTCTCAGCACCGCATCCCCGGACCCAGCGCTCACCATCTGCAGGGGCTGGCCCAGTACCAGGCCGTGCAGACGCAGCACGTGAGGATGCTCCAAGTTCATCATGACCGACACCTCGCGTAGGAAGTCCCCCAGCTCCGTGCCCACGGGGCCTTCGGGACCCACTCGAAGGGATTTGATTGCTACGGAGACCTAGAGGCAGGGAGAGGCACCCTCAGGTGAACTGTGGCAGGGATACAGCAGGAGAGGGCTCTCGGAACACAGGGGCTGGCTGGACTGCCCCACGTGCCCTGGACACTCACACTCTGGCCGCCGGGCAGCGTCCATAACCCCCGGTGCACCACACCGAAGCAGCCCGAGCCCAGCAGCTCCCCTCTGCACACAGCCGACTGCGGGATGAGACACTTCAGTCCCACCTCCAGCTCAGGCAGGCCAGCCACGCTCTGTGCTGGTACAGTGGTCTCCTTGTGTTCAGGGGTAAGACCCCCGAGGATCTGAAAGGAGGACAGGAAGTCAGAGGTGTGCTCAAGCCTGCCCACCCCTCCCAGGCGGTGAACTGGCTGCAGAAGCCTCTCTGATCCTCCCAGCTGCCACCCCACAACTAGCACACACCTTGTAGACCCAGTTCTTAGACTTCGGTCCTGAGCGGTGCCTCTTGAGAGCTTCGGCCAACCTGCGCTGGGCTGAGAGAGACTGGTGTCAGAGCATGGGGTGGGGCCAGAGCAGGGTGGCCCCTCAAGCAGCTGGCTGGGAGGGCGGGGTCTCTTACCAGGCCGGCCCATGCCAATGCCATCCAAATCCTCCGGCCTCACGAAGTCGAAATGTTCTGGCCGAGTCACATTAAGTTCCTCGAGGATGGGCCGGTAAAACTGGGCCAGCTGGACGTCACGGAGCAGGCGCAGGAGCCATGGGGAGCCGGCATCCGGCAGCATGTTGGTGGCAGGAGGAGCCCTGGGGACCAAGGCACCTTCCTCCACATGGGCTTGCCCAGGCCTAGGATGCACACATTCCTAGCAACAGGTGCACAGGGAACCAGCCTGGGTCTTTGCCACTGCCACACACAGCCCTCCAAGGAGGGCATCCTGCAGCCCAAGGCCTCCTTGTCCCCCACGCCCACGCCCCTGAGACCTCAGTCTCCCAGCTGCTCATAGGATATACCACAGGGAGGCTGGCACATCATGGCATGTGGTCTCGATGTCTGACCAGCCAGATACACCACCCAAGCTCTAGCACTACACACACATTCACACCTGAGTCACTGCCTTCCTCACATATATCTTAGTTGTCCAGACACACTGGCCATATATTATGCCACATGCATGTAGTAGACACACACACTTACATATACACCCGTTGCAGAACATGCCCAAGACACGCAGATGCACATCTTCTTACACATCCAGCTGACACATGCCAGCACGCGGCCACCTAATGCCCACACACCCTTCATTTACAAGGGTGTGTGGAGGGGAGCCAGCATTGTGGCACAGAGAGTTCAACTGCCGCCTGTGATACCAGCATCCCATATGGGGGCACCAGTTCAACTCCCCGGTGCTCCACTTCTCATCCAGCTCCCTGCTAATGTACCGGGAAGGCAGTAGATAATGGCCCAGTATTTGGGTCCCTGTCGCCTCCGTGGGAGTCCCAGAGGGAGTTCCAGACTCCTCCTGCCTTCAGGCTAGGCCAACCCTGGTTGTTGTAGCCATTTGGGAGTAAGCAAATAGATGAAAGATCTTTCTTTGTGTTTCTGTCTTTCCCTGTCACTGCCTTTCAAATAAATAAAACTGATTTTTTTAATGAAAAGAATTAAAAGTTTATGGGAACATTAAATGAAAAAAAAAAAAAACTACTTTTGTTTTGGTGCAAAAATGTTAAAAGCCAATCCACACTTTTTCCATAATAGGACTTTTTGGAAATGCCCTGGCAGACCTAAACAAAACACACAGCAGACACACGCATCAAGACATGGTGTCCACTCACACCTGGCTTACACAGATGCAGTCATCCCAGATAGGCCCAGGGTCACCGCCCCTTGGACCACCCCTCTTCTTGCCACAACACTTTTTAAGTGCTGCCTAAGCACGGGTCCTACTGGGAAAGCCACCTCGGAGCAGCAGAAGCTGGGTGCACCAGCTCCACACTCACCTGCACCCCCACCCCCAGGCACAGCTGACTCACAGCCTACAGCGGCGCCCAGGTAACTCCTCCAACCTTATTAAACATGGCTCGAGGTGCCCCTGGGCCACGGCGGGCGGCACAACCACTCTCCTTTACACACATCCAGCAGTCAGCCACCTTGCCCACTTTATAAGTGAAGCGAGGGAGAAAGCAGAAGTGGTGTCCACTGCGGAAGGAGAGAGCCCAGGTTCTGCGATCACCCCGCGAGACAGGTAAGGTGGGAAGGGGACAAATCTCAGAGCAGGAAGAGCAGGAGGAAGCTTGGCCCCCGCCGGAAGGCCCTGCACCCCGCCGATGCACCCCCACCCCAAGCAACAGCCTCAGCGGCTGGCTGGCCCCAGCGCAGGACGCGCCAGCTGGGTCCCGACCCTCACCTGCCCAAGGCGGAAGCGGCAGCTAAGGAACCTCCCAGGGCTGCCGGGGCTAAAATCCCGAGGAGGGCGGGATCCCAGGCGGAGGAGGGCGGGACCGGCTAGCCCAGGCCCGAGGCTGGCCAGGGCCGCGCCTCCTGTTTCCAGATAGCTGCGGGGGCGGCCCCTCCCTCCTCGGGCCAGGTCACCCCCGGACCCCTCCCTGCTGTGTCCCTGAGCCCGCGCGCCTCACCCCCACTTACCAGCCCTCCCTCCCCTTCTCTGGGGTCTGACCAGGAGGGCTGCACACAGCCGGGCCCCTACCCGTGGGTGACTGAGCAGCGATGGAGATGTGCTACCCAGGTCCTGGAAGCCTGAGGCTGACCCATTCCCCACCCCACGCGTTCCCAGCACCCGTCCAGCACCTGTAGAAATGCCAGGGAGTGCAGGGGAGGGGGGCTTTGGGAGTGGGGCCAGGCCAGGGCGAATGGGTGCAAAGGTGCACTGAGGCACCCCCCAGGCCTGGGCAGAACTTCACATTAAGCATGAAATCACTGTGTATCTTGGGGTACCCCTATCCCACCCTGCAAACTTCCGGGCCTTGTGCGCAGGTGTGGGGGGACTCACCCTGGGGCCCTGAAGAAACCATGGGCCAGCTGCCTCCTGGCCTAGGAAAGGGTGCCTGGATCCAGCAGCTGCCCCCAGGGCCTCTGGAAGGGGGTGTGTGGGAGCTCCCTTCTTGTAAACAGGCTCAAGAATGTTGCAGCATTGATAGGAAAATCTTAATACAGTTCTGTTGTATTGTTTTCTTGCCAATTCCCTTGCCCTCCTCCAGCGAGCTGGCTGCGGGTGCCGTGACTGCTGGCTCCACAGCTGGTATCACTGATTGTCTGAGATCTGAGTGCCTTGCCCACCCCAGGGTTGTAAGACCAGAGAACAGTGTCTGCGCATGACAGACGATGCGGCTTGGTCCCAAAGAAGTATGCTCAGGGACCGGCGCTTGCGCACTGAGACCCTGCTTGAATTGCACGCATCTCATAGCCCCTGTTCAAAGTCTGGTCCCTGTTGCACTTCTGATGCCAGCTTCCTGCCGTGAGCACATCGGGAGGCAGGAGGGGATGGCCCAAGAACCCGGCTCTGCCACCCACACGCGAGATGCAGATGGAGTTCCGAGCTCCTAGTCCTGGTCTGGCCCAGCTCTGGCTGTTGCAGGCATTTAGAGAGTGAACCAGCGGCTCGAGATGACAATAAATACTTTTTAAAAAGATTTATTTATTTTATTGGAAAGGCAGATTTACAGAGAGAAGGAGAGACAGGGAGGAAGATCTTCCATCCAATGATTCACTCCACAGTGACCACAATGGCCGATCCGAAGCCAGGAGCCAGGAGCCTCTTCCAGGTCTCCCACTCAGGTGCAGGGTCCCAAGGCTTTGGGTAGTCCTTTACTTTCCCAGGCCACAAGCAGGGAGCTGGATGGGAAGCAGGGCCACTGGGATTACAACTGGTGCCCATATGGGATCCTGGCGCGTTCAAGGAGAGGACTTTAGCCACTAGGCCACTGCACCGGGCCCTAAGATGACTCTTGATATTTTGTGATTTGTTAAGATTATCTCTCTATATGGATTCCTTCCTATTTATTCTGCTCTCTCTCTCTATATATATATATCCACATATACATACATATATATACATATATGCACTCTATATATACACACACACACATATATATAGATTTATTTTTATTTGAAAGGTAAATTTACAGAGAGAACAACAACAACACACACACACATACAGAAAGTGAGAGGTCTTCCATATACTGGCTCACTCCCCAAACAGCCGCCACAGCCAGATCAGAGCCAATCTGAAGCCAGGAGCCAGCAGCTTCTTCTTGATCTCACAGGTGAGTGCAGGGCCCCAAACACTTGGGCCATCGTCTGCTGCTTTTCCAGGCTGTAAGCAGAGAGCTGGATCAGAAGTGGAGCAGCTGATGCCCATATGGGATGCCAGTGCCAGCAGGCGGAGGATTAGCCTGCTGTGTCATTGCATCAGTTCCTGTTGCTTTTTTCTTTTTCTTTTTAATGGAAAGGCAGAGTTATGGAGAGAAAGATCAAGAACCTTCTATCTGCTGATTCATTTCCCAGATGGCCACACTAGTCAGAGCTGAGCTGATCTGAAGCCAGGAACCAGGAGCTTTTCCTGGGTCTTCCATGTGAGTGCAGGGTCCCAAGGAATTGGACCATCGTCTGCTGCTTTCCCAGGCACATTAGCAGGGAGCTGGATCGGAAGTGGAGCAGCTAGCTGGGAAACAAACTGGTGACGCTTTGGGTTGCAGATGCTGCAGACGGAGGCTTAGCCTCGTATGCTATGGACACCTGGCTCCTCAATAAAAATTTGTATTTATTTATTTATTTATATTGGAAAGTCAAACATACAGAGAGGAGGAGAGACAGAGAGGATGATCTTCCATCATATGATTCACCCCCCAAGAGACCACAACAGCCGATACTGTACCAATCCGAAGCCAGGAGCCAGGGACCTCCTCCAAGTCTCCCACACAGGTGCAAAGTCCCAAGGCTTTGGGCCGTCCTCGACTGCTTTTCAGGCCACAAGCAGGGAGCTAGATGGGAAGTGGAGCTGCCGGAATTAGAACCGGCACCCATGTGGGATCCCGGGCATGCAAGGCAAGGACTTTAGCCGTTACGCCACACCACCGGGCCCAAAACTTTTCAAAGTGTTCCTGAAGATGCAGAGCAAGCAGAGCTCTCAGGCTGTGGGTCAGAGGTTGAAGTGGTAAAACCATTCCATAAAACAATGTGTTGGCTTCTTAAAAAGTTAAACGTACTTGCCATACAACCCAGACATTGTATCCCTTGGTGTTTACCCAAGAAAAATGAAAAAATGTAAATCCACACCCCGCCAAGACCTGAGCTCAACTGTTTATTCCAGCTTCATTTGCAAGAGCTATAAAGTGGGCACAGCCCACTGGTGAATGGCCAAGTTGCGAGACATCCGTACACTGGAATGTGAGTCAGCAGGAACAAGGGTGCGGACCCGTGACACACACACATATTATGGAGAAATTGTAAAACCCTCTCACTCAGGAAAAGACAGCCATACTGCGTGGTTCCATCATACAGAAGTCTAGGAAGGGCGGGTAGGAGTGAGGGAAGCTGAGTGGGAGTGGCCTGGGAAAGGCGGGGAGGGAAACAATGGCTTAGCGAGGAGTTCAGGGAGCTCGGAGGCCGCCATGTTCCTCACCGTGCTCACAGGAGGATGCCTGGCAGACAGTCCAAGGCAGTGGTTAAAGCAGAGGACACCCTGTGTGCCAGCAAGGCTGTACGAGGCCTGGAGTCATGCAAAGGCCTGACCCCAGACACTGATGCTTTGTTGTCTCTTGGAATGTT